TACTACTTCGACGACAGTCGAAGCAACATCCTAATGGCCAAGGCCATCGACATCAGTTCGACCTCGCTCGAACCACGACAGATACTACTTCGATGACAGTCGAAGCAATATCCTAACAACCAAGGCCATCGACATCGGTTCAACCTCGCTCAAACCACGACGGATACTACTTCGACGACAGTCGAAACAACATCCTAATGGCCAAGGCCATCAACATCGGTTCGACCTCGCTCAAACCACGGCACGACCCTTCGACGAACGATAAGAACAACCTCTACGGAGGCTAAGCATTACAAAAGAAAAACCAACAAAGGGAAAACACCAAATGAACGAAGCAGCAAAAATAAAATTTATATTACAACAAAAATATATATACATTCGCCCCCGTGGACGAGTTCCAACACACTATATAAGCCAAAAATATACATTGTACAAGTTTATAACTGCCTGTCACCCCCTGGGAGATAAACGTCATTGTACCAAGAGCTGGAGTCGAGCCGGTTGACGTCTTCAGAAGCAGGCCCCTCCCCATTAGGAGAGTCGGGGTAATAACCACAAGCCTCACGAGCAGCGCGAGCCTCATCTCGCCGTGCTTGAACTTCCTCCTCCGTCGCTCGGCCCGCGGCATGAAGCTCTCTATACACGTCGAGCATAGCCTCCGCAAAAACCCACATTTCATGAGCATTATGACGCATACTCTGACCAGGCGAGGGACGAGATGAGGAAGGCTGAGAAAGTCCATTATTCTCCGCCATCCTGGCGTTGAGCTCGGCGGTTAGATCCGCCACCCTCCGCTGCAGGTCGACGTTCTCCGCCGCCACCCCACGGCTCAGCTCAAGCTCGTCATCTTTCGACTTGAGAAGCTCCTCCAACTCACTGTTATGAGTCAGGACCTTCATCAGCTCGCTATCCACCTCCTCCAGCTCAGCTCCCCTACGTTCCAACTGGGGCTGCCCCCGTTCAACCATCGCTCGGTGCTTGGAGCGATACTTCCGATACTTTTTATCATCTTTTTTTAGAGAGCCATCCGCTTTTGCTCATGACGTCCCCTCTCCACCTCCAAAACAAGGGTCTAAAAAGAAAAGCAGAAATAAGCACGCCTCAAATCAGTCTTACAACACGCAAAAGGGAGAAAGGAAATAAGGATTACCTGTAAAGCCATGCCGGAAACCCTTCGTGATAGCTCCGCATCCTCCATAGTGCTGAGCGTCTTGCTCTCGGAGGCGGCACAAAGCAGGGTAAGGGCCGAGGCAGCCTGTTCTCTGTTTAACAGGAAGTTGTAGGCCTCCAGAATTGTAATACGGCGGTCAGACCCATCCGTCGTCATCTCCACGTGGGTTAGGCCACCCAAAAACTCGTCGACATCCTCTTGAGCGATGTTGGAGTGCGATTTCTCCATTTTCTCACCAGGTCCTTCGATGTTGGTCGACGACCCTCCCTCAGCGGCACACGCAGAACTAGCACCGGGAGCGGCACTCCTCTGTTGAGCCGACCTCCCAAATCGAATGGCGTCGGCCATGAATGGTCTGTGCGTCGGCCGAGGCACCTCACTCCCTTCGGCTTCGGTGACCACCCCCTTACCTTTCTCGAGCCTCCTGTTTTTTCTTCCTAACGACTCCTCGCTATCGGAAGGTCCATCCACGGGTTGCAGAGTCGGCACCAGCGATGCCGACTCCCACATAACCATGGTCGTAGATGTAGCCCCCTGTAAAGGAGCTGGAGAGGGATCCTCTCGGACAGACTCAACCAGTATATCGCGAGTGACCGAGGCAACGTCAAATCGATGGGGAGCGGGGACTGGCGCTTTCTTCCTAGAAGCGCCTCGACCTGTCGCCATAAAAATAAGTGAGCAGGGTTGTAGAATTTACAAAGCAAAAATCGGAAATCTACCTGAAGAGACTTTGGGGCCGTAACGCTGCATGAAGGCAAGCCAAGTGCGGGTCTCTTCCGCGTAGGGAAGCAAGCCCATAACCCATCTCCTAAGGTTGGCAACAGGCTGGGGCGGATGAGCCATAGCTGCAATACAAAGGTTAGAATTGCGACAGTCACGGGTAACACATAATTTGACAAATTGCAAACACTTACGTTTCGAGTTCCACCTCTCTAGGAATCCAGCAGAATTAGAGACCATGTGCTCGGTCCTAATAAAATAATATTTGCGCCAGAACCCACAACTCGCTCGGTTGTCGATTTTGACCACCAATCCTTTCGTACCACGCCCTCGCAAATGCACCATGGTCCCTCTTAGATAGCAGGCACTGAACACTTGAAGGAGGTGATGGGCCGTGACTTCACATCCGGCCAACTCCACGTACTTGGTCAGCAACCAAAGCACCTTTAAAGTGTACGGTGTAAGTTGAGCCGGACACACGTTATAGAACCGGCAGAACTCCTCCGCCAAAGGGAAAAGAGGGAGGCTGTAACCAATCGAAAAGGGGTATTCGTAAAAGGTACAATACCCTGGCCTATAGACATCCACGTGATCCCTCCCCGCAGGAACCATCTCTACGTGGGCAGTATGCCGTATTTCACGGGGAGGTCATCAAGTGATTCTACAACGACTCAGAAAACTCTAGAGCCGGAATGGGAGAGTCCTTACTGAAATCACACAGAGATAAGATATGCTTTGGCAATAATGCTTCCACAGTAAGAGGACTGATGTCCTCGTCCTCCTCCGCCGCTCTACCATCGGAAGGTGGCGGTACATTCAATGGGGCAGTCGCTGGGACCCTCTCGTCGCTTCGACAAGGTTTAGGCATGATCACGGTGAAGAAAAAGTTGTGCACAATCCAACAAAGAAAAAGGAGATTTCCGATCAAAGGAAAACGCACCAGAATGTGAAAATAGGCATTGAAGGGCTGGAATGCTCTTGCAAATGACCAAAGTTTTAATCAAGTTAAACTCTTCTCATATTTATAGGGTTGGGTGGCGCCGGAATCGAAGAGGCAGACGTCGAATCGGCACGAGAAACCAGGCGCCAAAAGCTTCTGATTTTTAGCCTCGAGAATACGCGCAATGATGATGCATACGAACGTTGACGTCACACGGGGAAAGGCATTTCGCTTCGATGCTCTAACAGTCATGATTACTGTCTCCTGCCTGTCACGTCACAAGTCATTGACAAAGTCAAACTCTCCCAGAACGGAGGTACCGATTCCGCCCATCAAGGACGCATTCGCTGCGACCTCGACGAGCGGAGGGACTAACTGTATGGGGTCGAATTTGACCGACCACGTCCTTAAGCCAGCACGACCGACTGAATATATGGGAGTCCAGCTAGAAGGGCGACCTAGGAATAACAAGAGGGGCGACTTCATGATCACATCGGCTCCTCTATAGCATGTACTTTATTTTCTGTCTTTTAATATTCAAGTAAGGATCCTCTATTATATAAAGAAGGGTCCAAGCCTTGTAAAAGGGGGTTCATTTTTTGACTGGAAATACTTTATCTCTCTCTCTTCTCACTCTAGCATTATCTCTCTCTTACCTCTCGAAGATTATCACCTTCTCTTATTTCTCCGATTTGTGCTATTGCTATCTGATCCTATATTCAAGATCATCCTAGGGTTTATTATCTTCAACTACGATTTACCCCTTCATCTATATTGATTGATTTGCTTAAAAAGTATTAAACAACTTTTGAGTCAAACAATTACCTAATTAGCATTATATTGTTGACCCTCAAAATTCTTTAACAAATGAATAGTTAAAGTTCTATTCATCTACAAAATATGAAGATTGACAGTAACTAAAATAATGAGTCATAGTATTACATATTTAATAATTGACAATATATCGTGATGGTAAGTATCATTTCAAGTGTTAAAATTTACATCTTCATTTGATATAGATCTTCATATCTTAGTTTTGTGTCTTTCAAAATTATCAAACTCATGGAGAGTAATGTTTTAATTTACAATTTTGATGAAATTTAGTAATTATTACTCCATCCATTCCAATTTATGTGAACCTGTTTGACTAGGCATGGGGTTTAAGAAAAAATAAAGACTTTTAGAATTTGTGGTCCTAATCAAGTCAAAAAGGGGGCCCAGATTATTTGTGTGGTTATAAAAGCTTCTCATTAAGGGTAGAATTGTAAGTTTAAGCTAAATTGTTACCAAATTCAGAAAGGGGTCATTCTTTTTGGAACGAACTAAAAAAATAGGTTCACATTAACTGGAATAGATGGAGTAACTTTTAAAGAGGTAACTTTGTAGTTTGATAATATATTTAAAAATATTAGGATTTTTTCATTGTTTGAGAGATAAGACATTTTAGTTCATTTTATATCATAGTAACTTTAACACTATTTTATTATTTATACTTATAAAAATGCTAGATATTTTATTTTTATTAGTTTTTTTAATCTCTTTTTAAAGACCTATGGGGCTTATGCCCCATATCTCGGGGCTTACGCCTTGCCGCATGTTAAGTAAAATGCCCCGCCTTATGCCTTCGCTTTTAAAACACTGACACCAGAGGAAAATCTAGTATTTTAACGCGGCGAGAGCACCAATATTCTTCTCAACTAGTGCCCCTAAGGGCTTTTAGTGTTAAGGGTGCTAAGTGATTTAAATTAATCATTTTTAAGGTATATACAGCTACATATACAAGATTTCTGTCGATGTTCACGGATTCCGGTTATCCCTCAAGCTTACACATAGGTCTGCGTCTGCCTACACCCCTTATACTATAGAGTAGAAACAATTTCGGTGAGCACATATTCCGTAGAATATAAGAAAATATATATCTGCTGAGGCGGAGCCAAGATTTTAAAGTTATGAGCTCTAATTTTGTCATCAAACCCTAAATCGCTTTAGTTATTGGAATTCGTTATTAAATACTTTTACATATTTTATTATTATTTCAGTACAAACTGAGAGTTTAAACAAAAGCTACTATGTTCGACCGAATCCGTAGATATCACACTACCTCCACCCTGCACGTCTGAATTCTTTTATACTGTAAGTGCATAAAAAATTAAACTCATTTACTTTTATGTACAGCAAAAGGTGATCCTCATGAAAAAGACAATAAGAGATGAAGCATTATTTGCACTCTACCGCAGCCTATCCCAAGAAACCATTTGTATTGCGGACTTAGGTTGTTCCTCTGGACCTAATACTTTCTTGGTGGTCACCCAACTTATTAGAGTTATTTGCAAAGAATGCAAAAGCACTGGCCAACAACAACAACCGCCAAAATTTCATGATTTCCAGAATGATCTTCCTGGGAACGATTTTAATACTATTTTCAAGTCGTTGCTGCCAGAATTCTACGATGATTTGAGGAAGAAGAACATGGGAGAAGATGGATTTGATCCAAATAATTATTTTGTCTCAGGAGTTGCTGGTTCATTCTATAATAGACTTTTCCCTTCCAAGAGTCTGCACTTTGTCCACTCTTCTTACAGTCTCCACTGGCTTTCTCAAGTATGTTTCCCATTTATCTTTATTCTATCTAATATATGTTTAGGGGGAGCTTCAGCATATAGCTGGTAAAGTTGTTGTCATGTTATTAGGAGGTCACGAGTTCGAGCTGTGAAAATAGCTGTCACGACCCGGATTTCCCACCCTCGGGAGTCGTGATGGTGCCTACTAGTGAAAGCTAGGCAAGCCAACCAACTGAATTATTTGCATTGTTTCCATTTTTAAATTCGTTAACAGTTATAAGCCAGCAATTTATAATCAACGAAATTTAACAAGCGGAAGAATAAATTTCAAGTTTAATAGTACTGCTAATACCAACAAAACTACCCAAGATTGGTGTCACAACTTCACAGACTGTCCAAGAGTACTACAAATAAGGGTGTGAAAGAAATAACAAAAATATTGTCTCTGGGATTACATAAAGAAATAGGAAAATAGATAGAGGGAGACGCCAAAGCCTGCGGACACCTGCAGGACTACCTCGGGTCGCCTGATGATCAAGAAGCGGAAAATCTCACTGCGGTCCGAAATCTGCAGCACTGGGATCTGCACAAAAGAGTGCAGAGTGTAGTATCAGCACAACCGACCCCATGTGCTGGTAAGTGCCTAGCTTAACCTCGGCGAAGTAGTGAAGGGGCTAGGACCAGACTACCAAATAAACCTGTGCAGATAAATAATGTACAGCGAAAAATAAAAGCAGAAATATATATTCCAGGACGGGAGGGGGGAAACATGCTGCGGGGAAATATCCAATGACAACAGGAGGACAGCAAGCAAATGTATGGAACACTACAAAATTCAATTATCAACAAGAATCAGAAATCAAACAAGTGCACGGCATCACCCTTTGTGCTTTTACTCTCATTCTCACCATAAAAATCAATATAATCGGCACGATATGGTACATCGTGCGGCACGACATCACCCTTCATGCTTTACACTCTTCCTCATGAAATAATAACACACGGCATCACCCTTCGTGCTTCAACACTCTCTCACCAAAACAATGCACGGCATCACCCTTCGTGCTTTACACTCTTCCTCACCCAAATAACAAACACAAAAAATAAGGGCAAGGAATAAATGAATCATAACAAAATCCCGGCAAGGGAACAATATCAAAAGCCACAACGTCCCGGCAAGGGATCAATACCATAATCCTTTTCTCATTTTTACATTTACCTCACAACTTGGTTCACAATTTGAGCCAATGTTCTATAAGGTTCAATTGCCAATTATATTTTCACGTATCACTTTGCAACTCAAGCCAATGCTCTTCAATATACAAATACCAATATTCTTTCCACAAACCTTGCTCAACAATAGCAATCACCACATTAAACATGAACAATACAAACGGAGTCACATTAATCACAACATAAGACTCATGGGCATGCTTGACACCAACGTATAGATACTCGTCACCATGCCTATACGTCGTACTCAACAAATAACACATAGCATATAATACCAAACTCATATTCCATCAAGCTAAGGTTAGACCAAACACTTACCTCGATGCCTCGTACACAGTTCAAGCCTCAACTATAGCTTTACCTCTTGATTCCACCACCAGTTCGCTCGTATCTAGCCAAAAGTTACTTAATTACATCAATAAATGCTAAATGAATCAATTCTAATGCATGGAAATAAGTTTTCTAAAGTTTTTCCCAAAAAGTCAAAAATCGACCCCGGGCCCACATGGTCAAAACCCGAGGTTCGAACCAAAACCCGACTACCCATTCACTTACGAACTCAAATATATAATTTGTTTTGAAATCGGACCTCAAATCGAGGTCCAAATCCCCAAAATTTGAAAAACCAAGGTTCTACCCAAAACACTCAATTTTTCCCATGAAAATTATTGATTTTGAGTTGAAATCATGTGAAAAGATATTAAGGATTGAAGAAAACTAGTTAGAAATGACTTACAATTGATTTGGAAAAGAAGTTTTCTTTAAAAAATCGCCCAAGAGAGTTTATGTTTTGAGAAGATGTGAAAAATGGCTGAAATGCGTCTAAGTGTGGATTTACAGGTCTCTGATGTCGCAATTGCGACCAGGGTTCGCAATTGCGAACCCAGAAGTCTGCTAAGCTCGCATTTGCGAACAAATGTCGCACTTGAGACCAAGTCAGTGTTCAGGTCTTCTTCGCATTTGCGATAGACCTTTCGCAAATGCGAAGTCGCATTTACGATAGAGGAGTCGCATTTGCGACAACTGGCCACAACAGGGGACATCGCATTTGTGATGAATGCTTCGCATTTGCGAGGAAGTGCTGGCCTGGGCTATTTCGCATTTGAGACATAGCCTTCGCATTTGCGAACTCGCATTTGCGAGCCAGGTTTCGCAAATGCGAAGCCTGCAGGCCTGAAACATACCAGTTCGAATCTACAACACCCTAAGTCGAAATTTCACTCCGTGGCCTATCCAGAACTCACCCGAGCCCTCGGGGCTCCAAACCAAACATGTACACTAACCCAAAAACCTCATATAGACTCGCTCGTGCATTCAAATCACCAAAATAACATCAACAACTATGAATTTAGCATCATAATCATGAAATCACTCAAGAACATCAAATTTTTAATTTTTCTCAAATAAGGTGCGATTCATGTCATTTCAAGTCCGTTTCTTACCAAATTCCACATACTCAACTTAAATCACATATAAGACCTGTACCGGGCTCCGGAACAAAGATACGATCCCGATGCCATCAAATGTAAAACACATTTCATTTTTAAAAACTCATGTATTTTTCAGAAAATAATTTTCTTTAAAAATTCATTTCTCGGGCTAGGGACCTCAGAATTTGATTCCGGTCATATGCCCAAGTCCCATATTTTCTTACGGATCTCCAGGGATCGTTGGAACACGGATCTGGGTCTGTTTGCTCAAAATATTGACCGTAGTCAACTTAAATTCAGTTTAAAGGCAAAATTCATTATTTTTCATAGATTTTCATATAATGGCTTTCCGGCTACATGCCCAGATTGCGCATGCAAATCGAGGTGAGGTAAAAGGAGGTTTTTAGGCCTCGGAATGCTGAATTTATTTCTAAAACAAGTGATGACTTTTTGGGTCATCACAATAGCCCCTTGCAGAAATGCAGGGTAATGTTGCATTACAACAGACCCTTGTGGTCCCGTTCTTCTTCGGATAACGCACACAGCGGAAGTTTAGTGAACCCGTTATTCGGGGAAGAGCCGGACCACATGGGTCTATTGTAATGCAGCATTACCCTGCATTTCTGCAAGGGGCTATTTTCACGGCTCGAACTGGTGACCTCCTGATCACACAACAACTTTACCAGCTATAAGCTGAAGCTCCCCTTAAACATATATTAGATAGAATAAAGATAAATGGGAAACATACTTGAGAAAGCCGGTGGAGACTGTAAGAAGAGTGGACAAAGTGCAGACTCTTGGAAGGGAAAAGTCTATTATATAATGAACAAGCAACTCCTGAGACAAAACAATTATTTGGATCAAATTCATGTTCTCCCATGTTCTTCTTCCTCAAATAATCGTAGAATTCCGGCAGCAACGACTGGATTGTTTAACCAAAAAATGGAATTTTGACTAAAGCTATAATTTAGAAGAACACGGGTTACTGATAATCGCAAGAATGTATAAAAGAAAGTAATTTGGATGGCCAGAATATAATTGAATAAAACAAGTAAACCAAAATATATTCAGATGATCTTTCGTGTCCTTACAATTGTTCAGCCCTCTCCTTTTTATAGCTATTTTGAGATATATATCTTGCCTTTGTCATAATAAGGCCATTATGGGAAATTAATGACATTGAATGCTACGTTGCATAATCATTATATTCAAGACAGATTCTATAATGTTTTTAGCATTTAAGGCTTATTAAATACTATATTTGGACTCTCATGTGTTGTTAAATTCATTCCCTTGGTTCTTCTTTATTCTTGAATTTAAATGTCTTGAATAGGTACGGGCACCGAATCCTTTGAATGTCTGCCCGTGCCTCTTCCTTTGCCTTTGCTCACATCCATTGCTACTCGTGCCTCTTGGCTAGTTGAAATTCTTTGACCATTTGACCAGTCTACGTGTCACGACACGTCATCTCCATACTACTTTAATATGTAAACTCAATTTTCCCAATATAGATAGTCCCCCCACTAGCCATTTATTCATCAATTGAATATTTGGGAAGTGGATTTCATTAAAACGGGAATTTTTGTCACCATTAATGCTGTGACAGAATTGACGCTTCAATTGTCACTTCCATTTAATGCGTTTCACACGTGTCACCTTCCTATTGTTTCTGCAGTTTTGCAGCACTTTTTTAGGTTTTCTTTTCGGCTTACCTGTTTACGAAGTGTCAGTTATCATTATTATGGTCCTTCCATCATTGCACTTTTCCCTTTAACGGTTGCTCATCAGTATAAATATAACTTCTTTCTTTGTCTTTACCTCATAAAGTTTACTGAACACTTTATTTCTCAAATCTCTGTTTGTTTCTTCCTCGTATCATCCTTTTTCATTATGTCTTCATCGAACCCTAACCCTAGAAGGGCTTCCATTGTTGATACCCTCCCTAGTGCTCTTAGTAGAGGCAGAAGGGGAGGTAGGTACCGTAGTTCGGGATCTGCACGAGGCTCTTCTGTTTTATCTCCTAGTTCTGGTCCTTCTTCTAGAACCAGAGGTTCCCTTTCTCAAAAATCTTCCTCTAGGGGTAAAGAACCTTCTGAACCATTACGTGAACCTTTAATAGAAGAGATAGTCCCTACGGAATTGTCTTTTTATCATGACAGGGAATCTCTTAGGAATCAGGTTTCTACTTTTGATCGTGTTGATGCTTTCCCCACTCAGATTACAAAACTTTTGTCTCCTGTAGTTCGCAAAGATTGCCATTGGAGTGATGACTTTCCTATTATCATTCCTAACCCAAATAAGAGAATCACTTCTTACTTGATGGGGTTTTCTTTTGTTCATACATACCCTTTCACCTTAGGGTTCAAACCAGCTATTG